ACGTATTTATAAAATCTAAGTGACTCGTACAACATGGAATTTATATAAAACGGAATTATCTACAGTGTTATAGGGGAGGGGATCGACTGTATTTGTTACTGTAGTATCATAAGTTATGTTTCAAAATGGGTGAAGTAGGGGTTTCGATATTGTTACCAGTGTTGTTTAACAGGGGTTTCGATATTGTTACTAGTGTTATTTGGGTGTTGTTTACGATACAGGCATTGGCAATAATTCTGAAATACCTCGTAAAATGTGCGTTACTAAACGATGTGTATTGTAACTGTAGTAGTATTTGAGCGGCTGTTAATGGTAATTGAATACAAGAAAAAGTTTATTAACACCTGAATTTATACACCTGAATTAAACTGTTTTATTTTGTAACACGTATTACTTTTATTACTGTAGTAGTTTTACAACACTAAGCAATTTTCTCGGTAAAAATTGCCTTAAATTAATATATGCGTAACCTTATTGTTACCGTAGTAACACGAAACTCGTTCTAGAAGTGAGGGGAGGTTTTTGAGTACGATTTCTTTTTAAATTAAATAGAAAAGTATTATTTTATAGGCATGGAAATGGTTGTTACTGTAGTAACAGCTCGGTTACTTAACGAGATTTTCTATCGATTATACGTGGCAACAGTTGTTGTTGCTGTCTCAACTACCTTAGTATTAAATAAACGAGTGTTGTATTTAATACGGGAACAACACTTTGTTGCTGTAATAGTCATTAAAGTAACAGTAATAGCGTTACGGACTACTACAGTAGGAAACAGAAGTAGTTAATAGATAATTGCATGCTAGCATATCCATCATTGCTCCTATAATAGCACTGACAGATGGTGCTGCAAGGTATCATTTCGTGCTTTTGTAACTATAAAAGCACAGCATAAGGTCCATTTTAATGCCTTTATAGCTGTAAGAGCATAGAATAAGTATCATTTTAATGCCTTTTAGCTGTAAGAGCATAGCATAAGTGTCGTTTTAATGCCTTTATAACAATAAGAACAGTAACATTTGGTACAGCATACTGTAGGAACCATAACGTTAGTAGTATGGAGGAGGGAAGAAGGTTGGATTGTTACTAGTGTGTTTTTTTTTTTCAACTGGATACAAAAATCACGTGGCTTATTACGTTATCAGCATCGATGCTCTTTGTCCCCCTCTAAATCAAATTTCCCTTAAGCGAGCTTAATAACAATTATATAGAAGCTAACATTCATTATTGCTCTTCTCCCCAATCAGCTTACTCTCATTACACTTAAGCAAACAATGACGTCACACACGCCGTCAATCAGCCGTGTTACTACAGCAACAATACCAGATGGCACGTATCATAAGCTGAAAGAGGGTGAGGTACAATAGAAAAAAAATATATAGGGGAAAACGGGAAAGATCTGTGTTTTTGCCTCCCCCAAACAACAACAACAACAACAACAACATGGAGCCATTAAGGACGTTTCTACACCTCCGCCCCCTTGCCAAAAAAAACATCTTGTTCTGCTTTATTAACGCGTCATTTCCGCTACGTCACCTCTACTTTTACGCTCCTTAGCTACCGAGTTAAACGACTTAACTCGCATCTACTTAGTCCACCCCCCCTTGCTACCTGTGGAGTACTAATTTCCCTACTTCTCCCCCCCTCCATACGAGTTACGACCCTACTCTTGGGTTACTACTATAATAGTAACGTGCCGCTTATCGCTGGTAATGTAATATTGCTGTAGTAACATTGGGGAGTTGGTAGAAGTACTTTACGTGACTAAAATTGAAATCGCACACAGTTTTTTCAGTCACTTCCTCTACGATTTTTCCGTTGTTACTCTATAACAGTATCGATAATCTGCCCTTTTCTCTCCCTCGTAACGGATTGTTACTGCTGTATCTCTCATGAAAATCGAATTACTTCCTTCTACCTTACACAATGCAAGCGTATACAAAGCGGTTGAAAGGTATGTTACTGTAGTAGTATACATTCCGTTACTGTAGTAACAGTAACGTTGTCACATTATAGTTACGGTTAAACGAATGAAAACGAAGAGTAACCGTAAATAAGTGACGATTTCTGTACGTCGGGGCATTGTTACTGTAGTAAGTGTAATAGTAACAATAAGTAACGATTCAACTATACTGAGGCCTTGTTATTGTAACGATAACAATAAATAAGTAACGATTACTGTATTAGAGGTATTGTTACTGTAGTAACAGCGATGTGGAAATCACATTACTAAGGTGCTTTACAGGTACACTTTCTTACGAATGGAAGGTTACAAGGGAGAGGGAGAAAGGGAGGGAGGAAAGATAGAATTAAAAGTCAGTTGTAGTTATAATAGCATCAGCATACATTGTGTCTGTTTTGACGTCAATTTTCTCATAAATAGTAACAGAAACGACGTCATTCATGCCTGACAAAGGACGGCAGCTGTTCATCCATCAGAACAGATGGCAGGAGCAAAAATGGCCGACAACGTCAGCCGAGTAATTATTATTTACCGTGCAAAAATCCGATTTTTACTTATTACCCGATTAAAGATGGCGATTATAATGCTAACACATTAATAACACTAGAGAAGTAGAAGTAACAGAGGGTAACACAATCGACCTTCTCGTCCCCCCCCGCCGGCCGATGATGAAGTATAATTAAGTCGGACGTCATTAATTTTTTTTTTTTTTTTTTTTAACGAAGTTTAATCGCCCACCGAAACAACAAGCGCGTTTTATTACCCTAGCGGCGGGCCCTCTTACTACCGCTTTCTCTCCCCCTCCCCCTCCGCTCAGATTGATGTCGAGTAGTACAAACAAAAAGTCGAAATCGAATTTGTGGGTGGAGGGCCACTTTTATCGTCGTCCTTCGTCGTTTCGATGCTTTAGGAGGGATCGATGGTTTTAGTGGGACTCTGCGAGAGTTTATGAGGTCTCCGTTTCTGTGTCCTCGGTTAAAGAGGATTGATTTTCCCTTCCCCCGCGCGCCAGCATAAACGGGGGGTGTATATATATATATATATAGAGAGAGAGGCAGATTTGTAGGGGATCCCCGCCGGAAGGATCCCCGATTTGTTATTATATCCGTGGGGGCCCCCTTATTGAGGTTTCGGGAGGAAGGAGGGACGGGTTCGTTCTGGCAGACGTAACGGAGAAAGGCAGGTCTTGCCTCCCGTTGTCGGGATCAAAACAGATCGATTTCTCCCCCCCTCATCCTGTCTTATCGGGGGCTCCGGAAAGAATCGCCATTTCCTACCTCGTTTTAGCGTGTTGTTAAAACCGGGGCTCCCCTCTTTACATGAAATATAACCTAGATTTTTAAGCCGTTACGTTTCCCACTTTCCCTTCTACAGTGAAAAAAACAAAACAAAACGTTAAAGCGGGACAATCGATGAAATTCGGTTTTGGTTGACTTACGGGACAGGGTCATCGCAGGTCATACCTATCACGACAGCTGGACACGTTGCAACAGCCGAAATTTCCTGTATGCGCCTGGCTAAAGTGTAGCGTAACAGAGCCGGAGAGGGAAGAGAAAGGGAAACGTGAAATAAAAAAAAAAATGGCCGAAGTAAGGGGGCCCTTCTAATAAAGATACGTCATCTGTACAGATTGTAAATTATCAATTAAAATGTTTGAAGAGGTAGTTGTCCACTCTATAATTAATCTCGTCTATGACTAAGAGTTAGTCACTGGAGGGGTGCTTTGTTGTAAGTTTCGATCGAATGACTATATTACACTCTACCCCCTCCCCCGAAAAAAGGAGGGAAAAAAAGAATTGGGGAGGAGGTATCAACCTTTAACAGGTATCGTTGAAAGAGGAGCAAAATGAAATCCTCGCGTGTTACGCTGAAAACATGGAGGGCCCTTCGTCACCGCCATTCAACAGTTGTGTGTGTGCGTGTTTAATGTTACGAGTGATTCTCCAAGCTGTTATTGACCAAAACACTATAGTACGAGAGAACAATTATTGACCAGATCGTAACAGACACTCCAAGCAGGTTGTTGATCAAAACACGAGGGTTCTTCCGTGCAGCATCTGTTGCCCAAAGCGTGGTGGTAACACGTTGGAGTATGTGGTCAATAACACAGCGGCGATTGTCATAAACACCGTAACGTCTACATCCCAAAAATCTCTTGGTGTTTCAAACGAGTCCCAAAAGCCGGGCGCTCTCTCTCTCTCTCTACCCCCCTTCCCAAGTTGGAGAGTAATTAGCGAGTGCATTGTTTCTCCTCCTTCCCACAGTCCACCTTTTTGATTAATCGTGTGTTCGTCCCTATCTCTCGTTCAATAACCGTTTTTTAATCGAAGTAAAGCTATAGAACGAGATAAATTTGCAGGTGTGCGGAGGAGGGTATGGCATACCTTCACGTTTTCCTACTCTCTCTCCCCTTATAACAACAGGTTATGTGTCAAGATGGCATAGGCAGATTAGCTGACGTTTAAATTATCTTTCTCACTCTCGAACAGTACACAAACTTCCACGGGATCCCCCCGACTCACCTGCTAGTTACGGGTCAAGGACGGAGTAACGGGGCTCGACGGGGCCCTCTTTTCTCCGGCTAGCTCGATCGTCGGGGGGAGAGAAAGAGAGAGATACATGAATCACGATAAAAGCGTTTAAATCATTTATCATTTTCTCTTAAGAGTTATTGCATGGAAATGCCATCAAACAGGGGGAGGCCCTAATGCCCGAAACAAGGGGCATTCATCACCATCCTTGTCAAAATTCCGACTATATTGTGAATCACGGGTGAGTCACTCCCGGGGGGATTCGCGCCGTCCTTATGTCATCCAATCGTCCTAATCCCTGTTAATTCACTTTTCTCCCACTAGAGGGAGCGTGCTTACGCTCCCCGCACCACCTTTGCCTCCTTATACACGGCACAGCCTAAGGGCGATGGCCCCCGCGCCCTCCTGGGCCCATCCGAGATTGGCCCGTCCCCGAATAGTTTGGGAAAGGGCCCGCTCGAAGCAACCATTTCCCGCCGATCAGGTAACTTTTTCCCCTCACTCACCTTGTACACAAAGTGGTCGTATATCTGCGCCATCTTGAGAATTACACCGTTAACTGATGGAGGGTGGCACGGGTCACCTACATGGTGCAACAACACAGAACACAAACAAGCTAACAGGTGGCTCTCGACTTGCACTGTGCAGAGGACTGGAGACAGAGCACGGCTTCTACCCAACTCGCTTCTTTCCAGCCAACTGCTCTACTGGAAGCTGGCACAACAGTGTTCGTGTCTGATTGGCTGTTGCTATTGGCAACCGGACTGTCCCAACAGGGAAGTAAGGTGCTCCGGATCCCTCTTGTTCAGGTAGCAGCGTGCGTTGTTAAATGCGTCGCTGCTGCGGCCCCCCGCGCCCCTTTTTTTCAGTCTGGCTTGCATTCTTCCGCAGCGGGCCGGTCCCTTTCCCGAAACCGGCGGGCCCCCTCTTCAAATCTCGCTGCGCCTCCTCGAAACACGTCGTAGAGTAGTAATAATAATCGTAATTATAAATATCCCCCCTTTTTTTTAAACCCAAATCGAATGCCCCACTTCAAAAATCACTTAAGATAAGGCCCGTCTAATGATTTGAAAGTAATAATGCAATCTTCTTCCTCAACGGCCATCTGTCTAGTGTCGAGGGGCCTCTTTCTAAAGATTCTCTTTAAGTTATAGAGGAGAGAACAGGGAAAAAAATTATATATATATATAATATGTATTAGAATAATAGATTCGTGTTAAGGTCGATCTGGTTAATCGCCTGACCTAATCCACCCTATCGTGCATAAATCACGTGACGTGCCTGCAATTTCTTTCCTCTGTTTTTGTTTATTTATCTATGGGGGGGTGAAGTGTTATTGCTTTTATATATATCATAGAATTATATATATATATATATATATTGGAATTTTTCTATTTTCCTCCCTTTCGAGGTTACCCAACTGTAGAGGATTTTTCAATTTCCGTGAAGTAATGAAGTTTGATGCAAGCATGCAATCGATACCTTTTGCTGTTTTCCTATACAAACCATACACTAGAATCGTCCTCGCCCCCTTTTTTATTTAAGGAAAAATAAATAAAAGGGTGCCGTGTGACGTGGTAAATACGCCAACTCTTCCACCCCCTCCCCCGAACGACACCTAAGTGGGAATTAATTGCGAGGGATTTAGTAGATTACGTCTTCGATCAGCATCCCTCTTGAAGTATGGCCGCGTGTTCGTACAGGTGTCAGGTTACAACACTTAGACAGGTTCCAGTCATCCCCTAACAGGTTTATATCAGAAAGTGATCACGTTAATCGAGTTACCAGTATAGTTTCTGACCCCACAGTGTCGTCACTGCTCGGGATTTTTTGGTGTGTGTGAGTGTGTGGGGGGACAGAACTGGTAGGTGAGGGTTTACACCCCATCCAGGAATCCTTTTCGTTTATTTTCTGAATTATTTTCGTTCACCTTCCTCGCTTACGTAAGTGGGGGGAAGGAAGGAAAGGAGTGGGTGTCGTTCTGCCCCGGTTAATTAATATCCACACAGGAGAAGCGGGGGCGAAGTGCAGGAAATGGATAGCATTTTGTGGTACGAAATGCAGTTTACGACTGAAGTATGTGTGTGTCTGTGCGTGTGTAGAGGTATAAAGATTAAAAATCGACCGAGTTTCTTCTCTCTCTCTCTCTCTCTCTCTCTCTCTCTCTCTCTCTCTCTCTCTCCCCTACGCTTAAAAATGTCGACTTAAACACCGCATTTTTCTCATACGGGATAAAGTTTATAAAGTGGCTTCACGTGGCTTCTACAGTATTAAACACTACGTTTTATCACCCAATAGGAGCATTCGTTCGATCCTAAAACCGGATAACAGTGAAGGGTAAGAAACACACTAGCTAGAAACACCCATTTTTTTTTTTCTTTTATTTTACGTAAAAATTAATTAATTAAGGGGAGAACAAAAACACTTGCAGAAAAGGGATCCCATCCTGTGTATATTAAACGGCGTAACGATGCTCGCGCGCCGAAAAGGAGAAAAGAAAGAAAAAAAAAGAACACCTACCCCGTCACGTGACGCGAGCGCCAGGTGCGTTGACAACAGATGGCATACCCGCTGACCACGTGACCACTTTCCACGGGCTTGTTACCCTGACAAGAAAATTGGAAACAATTGGAGGTCACCAGAGCCCATTTACTAGCAGCAGCGAAATCGGGTACACCTCTTCCCTTTTTAAACGTCCACTGGCTCTTTATATAAATTCATTAAGCAGTTAAGGAATTAGGCGATACCCCTCCTCCTCCTCACCCCCCCCGTCCGAACTCACGCGGAATTTTTCTCCGGTCCCATCGAAAGTTTGGCCTTCGTAACACGTTCTTTTTAAGTGTTATTGAACCGGATGCCGTCACCAGGTGCGTTCCGACATCATTGGAAACACACACGAAGCCGTTACGGCACCCACCCCGTTGCAACTATATATAATAATCGTTACGCTAGTACAGTAACAATTTTAAAACGTATTGATTATATTTACGTCTTGGGGGATGGACGAATCAATCCGTCGTCAATGTGTGACGTTCCAACACATGAATTATTTAGTTGACTGTATTATTACGTAGGTAGCACACGAGCGTTTTTTTAAGTTTATTTGTGACGTCAGCTTTTAGGGAATTTTTAATACTAAAGTAGTACACTTAATTTTAGGGATTTCTCGTTAGAAAATGGGGATTAAACTTGTTACGCTCGTAGGATTTTTCTTGATTAAATGATATTGTTAGAAAGTTGGGCCAAAATCGGAATGAAGGTTGGAAAGATAGATGAGTCTAGTCATCAACAGCTGTTGTGTTGCAGGTGGTCTAAAGTAAGGCAAGTTGTTGATAAGTGCAGTGTTCAGGCTTGCGTGAAAACATGTAAAATTTAACGAACGAACCGTGCTCTAGTGTCTAAAAAAAAAACTGATTAATCAAATGTATGAATGAATCGGTCGGGGGATCGATTGATCGAAACGCTGTTTGATCGCGCGACTTTTTAATCTATAAACAAAGAAAATTTCCCTTCGTTAAGTGTCAATGAAGAGGTGTTGAACGTCGTTTAATGTTCCTACCTACTGTAATGTCAGTTCCAGGTGTATAAAATCTTGTGTTAATCTTCGCTATATTGAACACTCTAAAATGAATGGCGTTTCAAGTCTTCACGCTGTTAATCTTTATTGTATTGAACGTTCTAGTTGAGTTTAAACACAACTATTAAAAGTTCAGCTGTGTTCAGCGTAGTTTAAAGTGGTTGTGGGCGCTGAAAACAAAAGAAAGTTTTAAACAAGTTAAGAATCTAAACAAATAAACAGTATTTATTTTAGTGTTGAACATTGTTCAGTATAGCTATTCATTGCAGTGTTCAACTAGTGTTTACGAAAGAAACTATGTTGATTCGACTGTTTAATTCGTTAAAAATGGTCGAAAAGATGAATTTGGTGGTATTGAACACCGTTTAATTGCTGTTCAATAGTTACAAACGTCAGAGTTGTATAACTACAGGGCAGTACTTCACCCATCCAGATCGAACTAAGCCGCTAATACAGTGTTCTCCCCCGAATCAACGTGTTGAACACGTTGATTCGGGGGAGAACACTGTATTAACTCCCTCTTTTCACCTCTCGATTAACCTGAACAGTTTACAAATCGCTCAATCCTTTCCACAGAAATCCGTGGGGGGACGTACATGTAAAATCGCATGGAGACGGTTTTATACTTTAGCAACTTAGTTACACACGCAAAGCAACATCTGGCCCGATTCCAACATCAGCATAGGGGAGGGGGGAGGAAGGAGGAGATCAGTAATTTCTCTTTCTTTTCTGCAGCATTCATTCCCCAGAATGTAATTCCCATTTTCTCGATAGACTACACAGATAAGAATATTGAAATGGTATTAAAATTCAGAACACCGGCACGTGCAAAGGGTTCTCCAGCCAAGTAAAGGAAAGGGAGAGAGAAAGAGGAGAAGGGGCGAGGTCCACCCCCGAAATAACATTTCAGCCGAGAGTGCAGTATTAACATGATGAACAGCAATCAATTCAACACCATTTCTCTCTCTCTCTCTCTCTCTCACCAATACACAGTCACTCGGGGGATGGAGTAGAAGGAGCAGATGAATGGGAAAACGGAACAGAATTGACTAGAGTAACTCCCTCCCCCCTTTCCCTTTACTTTCCTGGCCAGGGTAGAAGGAAAGATATTACAGTTCACACCGGCTGAGGAATATAATAGTTCATCTTTTGACAAATAGAATGTTCCGTCTCCATTTTTCAGAATTTCGATACGATGCGAGTTATCAAAACCTGTCTCAATACAGCTGAGTTGTTGTCGAGAATTGAACGGGTTCTTCTTCTATCTCCGTCTTGCAGAAACTTTAAAGAAGGTGATTCTTCTCCCTTTCAGACAATAGCTGATTTTTTGGATGACGAAAGATGCAGAGGAAGAAAGGATTCCGTGTAATTTCTAACCCCCTCCTCTCTCTCTCTCTCTCTTTCTTCTCTACGTTGGTGGAGAGACACTTGACTTTTTTTTTCTCGCCCCTAAACACGTCGCTAGATTGTATCGTTATTGTTTATTCCCATTTGCTAACGAAATAAATAGAATAAATTTGGAAAAATTCCACCTTTCTGCTGAAAATTCGACAACGTATTACGAAAAATTGTCCCTTAAGTTCGAGGAATGAATACGAAGCCGTCTTGTCACTCGCTCTAACTCACTTTTTTTACGGTGTTTATGATTCTTAAATTTGTATTTTAGACGTAATTTTTTTGGCTTGTTTTCGACTTCTTCTGCATTGAAAACGGTAAAATTCCGTTAAAAATTACGTTTTTTGTTCTGTCGAAAGTTTCGTTTTCTATTCAGAAGCAGAGATTTCAAGAGGTTTGTTTCGTTTCTTCCGTATTGTTTTCGATGTTTTGATTTAAGTTTCGACTTTTCTACACTGAAATCAACGATAATGTGTTAAAAAATCGATCCACTTTTCAAAAAATTGACTCCTTTTCGCTCTCCTCATTCCAGGAACACTGAATGTAACTCATTTCTATCGTGTTATGTTCCTTTCTAGAATATTTCAAAGCATTTTACGTCGCCGAAATGAGCGATAATGTAGAAAAATATTTATTTTTGTATAGATTTTAGTGTTGTATTTGCTTTTTTTTTGTAGTGGATAAAGATTATTTCCTCTTAAAGAAGATATTTTGTTCATTGGTTGTTCCCTTTCCTACACATTTTATCA